CCACCCCAGCCCCACTGCCCAGAGAAAACCTGCCAGAAAACCGCTCATGGGCCTGCAGGAGGCTCTGTAAAGGCAAGGGACTCACACAGCACTGGGAACCACTGCCCCCCCGCCCCACGGGCAGCCCAGAGCCAGTGCCCCCCACACTGGGAGCCTCTGGTGTCCCACGGCTGCCCGCAGCTGGCACACTGGACCAGCCTCATGCCTGCTCTGGGAAGGGCGGCTGTGGCAGGGCCCTGGGGCCAGGACAGGCTGGGTGCACTGGACAATATGAAGGAAAGTAATTCTTACAGGAAAAGCAAGTTTATATATTGGGTTATGTGAGCAGCAGCCGCCTCGTGCCGGGGGGAGCAGGATGGGGAAGGTGGGGTGGGGGCTGTGTATGTGAGAACCAAGGGGGCCGAGCCAGGAGGGCCCTGGAGCCACCGTGTGCTGCCCTCGCTCAGGGCACAGAGTGAAGCTGCAGAAAGCAGGAAACAGGGAGGAAAGCAAAGGACGTGGGCATGAGCTCGAGCTGTGCTGGGACCCCTGGAGAGAGCAGACGCTCAGAAATGCTCAAGGTCTGGTGCTGGACAGGCGTCAAGGCCACTCTCTGATGGTCAAGAGCCTCACATGGCAGCAGCACATCACATTTCCCTCTGGAAACTACTTGCAGGCAGTGGTGGCTGCTCTGGCATCGCTCCCTGTGTGTTCCCCCTCCTTGAGCAGTGAGCATGGACCTCCTGCCCGCTGCCCCCTCTGCCGTGGGTGTGGAGGGAGCAGATCCAGCACCCCACCTCTGTGCTGCTCCCTGCCCTGGTGAGGACTCGCCCAGTCCCTGGGCCCCTGGCAGCTGGATCTGTAACCTGGGCAGGGGAGCCTGCAGCCCACATTGCTCCTGCTGTGGCACGGGGCTGAGCAGCAGCAGCCTCAGCACAGCAGGGAGCAGCAGAGGGCCTGGCTGTGTGATGCCCTGTGGGCACCCAGGGCAGTCCCAGCTGCAGGGTGGCTTCCTTGGAAGCCACCCCAGGTGCTGCTGGGTCACCCGGTGCTTGGGAGCACAGAGAGGAGCAGCACCCACTGCCCCGCTGTGCTCTGCCCATCAACAGGACTAGCTCAGCTCTTCCCTCCCGTGCTCTGGCTGCATCCCAGTTCCTCTGCTCCCTGAAGGAGTGGCCAGTGTGGGTGTTGGGGTTCTTCCTGCCTGCGGGGCAGACACACACCTGGCACGGGGGTCCGTGAGTTGGTGGGCTGCTTTCAGGAAGCTTTCTTGATGCCAGGTTTTGCTTATGGAGGACTTGAGCTTTCCAGCTGTACAGTCATTATCTTGGGTTCAGCACTCTCCAGCTGGGCCAGGGTCCTGTCGCTCAAAGTCCATCTTCAGGGGAGATGTGGGGTGAGAAGGCTGCAGCAGGAATGGTCTCCGAGGGTGACTTAACAGTGTAAGAAAAACAATCCCGTGTTCCTAATGTTTGTGTGCTAAAACTAAAATATAAAATACACCTTGTCCAAGCAGGTAGGGGATCAGCGTCGGCTCTGCAGGGTAGGAAGGATGCATCGTGTACACTTCCCTGGGGCTCCAGGGCAGGGAGAGCTCAAAATGTGAGTGATAACGTATTCAGTTGTCGTCCACAACCCTTCCATGCTGCAGCCTGTCCTACTCGCTGTCGCTCTTGTCCACCAGTACCGCGTCGGTCTCCTCTGTGATCTCCAGCAGCGTGTGCATCTCGGGGCTCTCCCCTCGCATCAGATCTGAGTTTTCTCCCTCCTCTCCACCAACCTCCACAAGCTCGGTGGCTTTCACCTCCACCTCACCCTCTCTTATTTTCTTGACATGGAAAGTGAAGGGTGGCACTTTGTAGACAGCTGTCTTAGATCTGGCATAAATGGTGTGGTCGGGGGTGAAAGACTTCCTCAGCTTGTCCCGAGAGGTCTTCATCTTCTCTCTTCTTTCATTAGTCACAATCTTGGTGCCCAGTTTGTTCATCCTCTTCTCCAGGTTATGGCGGGTCTTCTCCAAGTTGTGGCGGGTCTTCTCCAGGTTTTCCTTGGTCTTTAGCTTAGTCTTCTCCATCTTCTCCTTTGAGAATGCCTTCTTAAAGTCATCCACCCTTTTCATGCCGCTCCTTTTGATGCGCTCTGCCCGTGACTCTTCAATAATCTCCTCAATCTCTACCTCCTCATCTGACGAGAGCTGGATGTGGTCCTCCTCTGCATGGTCCTCACCCACAGGTGCCTCCTCGCCTTCGCCTTCCTTCTCTAGCTTTTCACCCTCCTTTAGAGACTTACTGATGCTCAGTTTAGATGGGAGCTTCACTTCATCCTGCAAGACACAGAGCCAAACCAGTGAGACACACGCACCCCCCAGCCCTGGAGCCAGCCCTGCCTCCCTCCCACAGGGCCGTTTGGCATCCACCTGGCTTAACAAACCCAGTGCCTCAGGCCTGGGCTCACCCTCCCTTAGTGCACCTGCTAAGTTACTGTAATGAGGATGTGCTTAAGGCTCTCCTGTATTTGTGCTCAGGCATCAGCTCTGCACACTCTGGGCTGGTTCCAAACCCATCCATGACTCCAGCAGCATGGGAAAGGCAGCCCAGCACTGAAACTGGAGTCTTTCCCTGTCCTGCTGTGCCCTGCCACAGTCCCATCCCCTCCAGTTTCATCTTTATCCCAGGACCTGGCCATCACAGCCCCTCGAGCAGAGGCATGGCTGGAGCTGGGATCCTGGCCACACTGCTGGCACGCACACGCTGGCCTGGCTGATCCCAGTCTGCACTCAGACTTTCCCAATGCCTGCAGAATCCAGGTGTGGGGCTGGGACATCTCTTGGGATGCAGCAGGCCACCCTATTCTTCCCACTTCTCCTCTAGGAAGTAAGTTAAGGAATTTGCCCAAGCCCATATCTGGAGATGGTGGAGACAGTGGCCCTGACCCGGTCTGCCAGGTTACAGTGCTCTGCTCGGGACAGGGCTGGATTCATTCAGCTTCTCCATGTGCCCAGGCCAGCCAAGTTTCTGATCCTAGTGGCAGAGGACAAGCATGTGCCTGGGAGAGGGGCACAGGTCTGGAGCAGGATTGGTTTTCATCTAAGCAGCACATAGCATGCATCCCTGCTGCAGTGAATCACCTCTCCCATCCCAGGACAGGCTGGAAATAGCCCATCACTGCACGGAGCGTCACAGCAGCAGGGCTGCAGCCCACGCTCAGAAATTTCTTGCCCGAGCGGTTTTGATCTATGGAGCTGGGTGGGACAGGTGGGAGCTGCCAGAAAATCCAGCAGCAGCCGAAGGGCAGTGTGTGGAATGGGCACACAGCACATGGAGCTGCTGGGCTGAGGCTTGGAGAAGAGCCTGGGCAGCAGGATGGCCAGGTGCCATTTCCAGCCCTGGGGCAGGCAGAAGAGGAACGGAGCAAGGACGGGGATCTGCAGCACTGGTGGGAGCAGGGCCCAGGGAAATCAAGGAATAGGCCCTGGCATAACCCAAGTGCTCAAAGTGTGTGGCAAACACTGGAACACCAGCAGTGACTCGCCTGCCCCCAGCCTGGGGAGCTGCCCTGAGCCACAGGAGGGTGACTTTGCTGTGGCACCTCCCGTGCTCTTCATATCACAGTGGCACTGCAGATACCAAGAACCAGGACACTGGGAATGGTCATTCTGCCAGGCCCAGCCTGAGGAGGGGCATCCCTGGCACTGCTACGGGACAGGACATCCCGGTTCCTGCAGTGCTGGAAGGGACAGCACGTTCACACATCCGTGCCCCGAGCGCTCTCCCACTGCCCCCGCTGCTCCTCTGCTGACCAAGGTCACTGCCAGGCCACTGCCCTGGCTGACCAAGGTCACCATGATGCCACTGCCCCAGCTGACTAAAGTCACTGCCATGCTGTGGCTCCGGCCTGAGCCCCTGGATGGAGGCAGGAGGGGATACTGCCCCTGCAGACACAGGTACTGGCCTGGCCCACTGCACTGTCCCCAGCCCTGCCTTCCCTTGCATCCCTGGAAAACCGACACAACTCGTTGAATACGTGACTCTAGCACAGCTTCACCTGGGTGACATCCAGATGCTTTCATCTGCTTTCTCATTTTTCTCCAAGCACAGGAGGGTGCTGTTCCTTTCTGGAAGCACAAAGGCATCTGGGGAAACCTTTGTGAGCAGTAGCGAGCCAGCTCCACAGAGCAATGGGCTCGGTGAGGGTGGCACAGGCCACAGTGTCCATGGTGAAAACACAGAGTCTGCTGGAACTGTGTTTTTTTGTGGTTTTTGCAGGCTCTGGGTTTTGTTCAGGGCAGAGAACTGTCCTGGGCAAATCTCTTCACCCTCTGGATCACAGCTCAGGTCCCAAACACTTTATGGAGATTAAGGTGAAGTGGTGAACATGTGTTTTCTTCATTTGATGAGCCACTTCAGCAGAAAACAATAGACGTGCTCTCCAGAGGGTGAGGTCAGTCCAGAACAAACCCACATCACTGGGAAGGCAGGGAGCCTGTTCACAACAACACCTGCTGGAGCAATCCCAGAGACTCCCAGGGACCCTGCCCCACCAGCAGAACATCAGGAACTCCAGCCA